TTTAAAGGGTAGATAGAGTTTGTTCAGGTGGAGAGGAAGGTGGACAAAACCGTAAGCTCAAGCAAAGAAGCAGAACATTTCAAGCAGTGCTGGGGCGATGAGCAATGCCTGACGGACTCCTCTCACTCGATTCCTTTACAGCCCCCCTCGTCCAGGCCCACCACGTTCCTGGATCAGTGAAAGCTGCAAGGCCAGGAACTCGGTAAGTGAGTGTTCACTTGAAAGGGAATTTGGTAAAAGTAACTCCAGAGACCATGGGACCATTTCCTAATTTTTATGGGGAAAATGATATAAATGCATTTTGTTTTACAGGTACTATTGCCATACATATTTCAAACTCAGCTAAAATGTATAAAAATAAATTCATAAACATTGGCATTAAAGGTAAATTTATGCCTCATTCAGTCCCACCAATTCATTTTCTAGAAGATAAAAGGGATGTCCAAATAAAAAACCTAATTAACTTGCCAAAAGTCAATTAATCAGACAAAAAGTTTGGAAGAATATCCAATCTCCTGATTTCTAGGCAGTGTTCTTTTCACAGCATCAAACCCCATTGTGTTATAGGCCCATGTTTCTGTATAACTTATTCGAAGGAAACGTCTCCATGCCTTTCTCTCTATTGCAAGGGGCCCCAAGACCTACAAAGCTGCTATCTTGACATCTGTGTGCACCCATCCTTCAATTCTCTCTAACACACTCACTGCTGATGTACTTGTCTGATAATCATTTGCCGCTTCCTGCAGATTTCCACAAAAAATACCCAGTTTCTTATCTCCTGGCAGTGCAGCTTCCTTCTGTTACCACTAACCAGACACTTCTATTTCTCCCTGCCTCCTAATATTGCTGTCCTTATAGCATTCCCATGTAATGCCCCAGGAAAAGGTCTCTACATCCCAAGTGCGGCAGAGGTTGGGGAAAATTAATTTCTGCAATCCCTCAGTCCCATTTCCAGTATGCCATAGTTGTGAAGATTAGCTTAGATCCACTTTATACATTTTCTCTCACACGTGAAATCATTGTTGCTTTTTTTCTTTTTCTTTTTTTCTCTCTTTTGGAGAGAAGGTCTTGCTCTGTCACCCAGGCTAGAGTGCAGTGGCATCATCATAGCTCACTGCAACATCAAACTTCTGAGTTCAAGCAATCCTTCCGCCTCAGCCTCCTAAAATGCTAGGATTACAGGCGTGAGCCACTGCACCAGGCCCCATTGTTGCTTTTCCAAGTAAAGAAATTATTCCATTTTACCCAAATTGTCCAGAAAATGGCTGTCATTCTCAATGAACACTTAACCTGCCTAGCCTTTTTGTTGCTGTAACTGTAATAGCCATTTATTTGTAAGCTTTCTTTGGAACTCTTAAGCATTGAGGATTCTGTTTTTATAGCCCTTTTCCTTTAGGTACTTACATCAAGTAAAACTCCTGCGCATAAGGACACACAGACAGACAGCAAATAGGAATAGTCGGAAAACTATAACTTCTGCTCTCAATTATAGGAACTCCTAGAGTAAAAACAAGTCATAGAATAACCCTCTCTCTTTTCTCCAGTTTTCAGCCTAACACATTTTTACTTGCTTAGCAAGCATATATCATACACTTATTATTACAGTGTTGAGGCTGATCTCCCTGCAGGCGTTTGTCCGTGATAGCTCTGTAAGGCACGGGGCTCCTGTAGGAACAGTCACCTACTAAACATTCATTTATTTAGAGAATAAGCATTCATTAAGTGATTACAACTGTTAGATTTTGTTTTAGGCATTAGAAACACAGCAGTGAACATTCCAGACAAAAATCTCTGTCCTCTTGGAGCTTATATTCTCATCTAATCTAAACAATAAATTAGGTAAATAACTAACGTATAAAGTATGTCGGTGATAAGAACTAAGAAGAAAAAAATCAAGCAGGGAAGGATGTGGGTGAAAGTGGTTAAGGTAGGCTGCAGAAGCCAGGCCCCGCTTCATGGAGGAAGTTGGTGAAGTGCTGGACTTTGCAGGTCGAGTGTGACAAAGACTGAAAGACAGGAGGGGACAAGAGTGGGGAGAAGAGTATGAGAAAACCTGAGGCTAAGAAGGAGGTAAGCACTTTCAGGAGGTGGAGAGGAAATTAGCCTACATGGCTGTGATATATTTTCAAAGTTGTGGGAGGAATATAAAGTAGATTCGTATCACAGAGGACATTGAAACCCTCTAGCTGCATCTCAGTTAGTGAGATTCTGGCTCCGTGTGCTAGGCATTACGGGGACCAAGTTCTGTGGCACATCCAGAAGTACTAGAAGCATCAAATTTGGGGCTGTAATGTCCTCATTGACAAACTGAGTCCAACGAAAGTGATTTAATTTTCCAAGGTTATACCATTAATAAGTGACCGAGTAAAGTGTAGGAATCAGGTATTTTTCCCTCCCTCCCTCCCTCCTTCCCTTCCTCCCTTCCTCCCTTTCTTCCTTCCAGCCCTCCTACCCTCCTGCCTTCCTGCCCTCTTGCCCTACTGCCTTCCTTTTGAGTTCTCCTAACCACCAAAATATGCTCTTGTGAGCTGAAGATTCCTTGTGACTTAGGTGAGGTCTATTTCCTTTGGGAATTAAAGACAATAGGCAAGTCAGCCTTCGACATTTTCTTCTTTGGGCTGACTAGAACCAACCTATTAAATATTTTGGAGCACAGGACTAGGTAAACAAACTCTGATCAAGGCATTCTAGACACTTCTCCTAAGTTCTTTCTAGTGGCAGCTTCATCTCCTCTTTTATCACTTCACGACAGCTCTACCAAAAGCACAGCAAGTCACTCTGCTACCCCTCTTTGTGGCTTCTTTATGACGCAAGCTTAATTCAGTGATTTAATTTCCCCTAAAAGGAACAAGCAATGGACAAAGGGCCAGGTGCCAGGATTAATAAGCCAAGTTTTATAGTGCTAACTGCTGTCTTGCCTGGGAGAAAAATATGTCTTGGACTGGGCCTGCAGTCTGATATAAAAGAATTTATATCAGACAACAGTAAATACGTATTATTTTTCTGTGGATGTTTTGTCTGTTGCAAGCTGAGGCATCTAAAACAATTTTATTGCCCTAGGAATGTATTTTATGTTCAGGATGTTCTTTTTAAAAATAGCTATTTTAGTGCCTAAATTGTTGAATGACTCACTAATGGTTTTGTTTTCAAGTGTTAGAAGAACAGAAGTCTCTGGAAACTGGCACTCTTCTTATTTTTTTTTCTTTTTATTTCCCCTTATTCTGACAGTTAAAAGTGTAGCTCTGAAGATGAAGCCTTTTATGGCAGCTTGAGGGAGTAGAGGGATAAGACAGTGAGAGTCACAGCTGCACTCCTACTTACTCAGCGTGGTGGGATGTGAGCCTGCCGGGCGGGGAAGAGGCAGCAGGACAGAGTATGAGCAATGAACATGCATTAACCTCAAGCCTTTTTAAGCTCTATCTGGACAATTGAATGATTCTTCCTCTCTTTGTTCCTCTTTGAGTACGTGCCTGGTGTATGCCTAGTGCCATCATTATGTATCTTTTGGAAGCAGACAGAGGTGTGTTTAAATAGTGTTAAATGAAATATAAATCAACAGGATCAGTAATTACATTGATGAACTGAGTAATTAACTAATGAAGAAACATGAATTGACAAATTAGAAAGTGATCCTCTTGAAGGTGCTGGCTGCTAATTGCTTAAGGCAGTTTCTCCTTATTTTTATCATAAGATTTTTTTTTTCTTAGAAATTCTATGTGGATCCCTAATCCACAGAAAACAGAAAACAAAGCAAATCAAGACAAAAACCAAACAGAACCTGAAATTACTGTAACTCAAGTGACATCCTGGTTGTGGGACCTTAGAAAAGCTGTTTAACCTTTGAGATCCTAAACTTTTTCATATATCTTGATGAGGATAAAATAAAGTGAATTTTATAAATTGTAAATTTAAATATATTGTGGTTGTAATGGAAAATTCTGGGAGACAAAATCCTTAAGGATTAAGGAGAAATGTTTTCTAATATAACATTTCAGCTACCATGAGAAGTAGAGATTCTTTAAATCAGAAGAACTTTCTCAAAGTCTCTTAAATCGTGTAATGTTTGACGCTTTCGGACTTACTGATTTTAAAGATTTGCTGTGGTGTTTAGATTTTTCGGAACATTTCGGTTTTAGGGGGGAAGACAGAGATGGGCTAGGCATCTCCTCCTAGCTCCTGAATGGGCAGAGAGGTCAAGCTCCGTTGTGCAGAGACAAGAAGACTTGGTGGGGGGTGAGGGGGCAACCCTGAGTGTGGTATTTTCTGAGCAGATGATGAGGGAGAATCAATCATTTCTTTCAACTCTCAGAACAGCATTACTGCAGCGGGAGGCCCTGGAGTCTGAGCCAGGGCCATGGAGGCCTCTGTGCTAAGCCCCACATCCTGGGAGAAACGGCGAGCCTGGCTCCGTCAGAGCCGCAACTGGCAGACCCAGGTCCTGGAAGAGGAGGCTGCAGCTGCCCTGCAGGATGTTGCAGATCCTGAGCCTTCTAGCCTGGATGACGTTTTCCAAGAAGGTAAGAGACTGTTAGACATCAGACAGACGTCTACGTTGTCTTGTAGACTGCGACAGCAGGCAGAGGTCTGCAGAGTACAGTGTGGACAGTGGGGCCCTTGTCTGGGCTAGGCCCTCAGGGAGGCTCATTTTGACTGGTTTAAACGAGTTTAAGGGAAGAGGCAAAAGTAATACAAGACATGAATTATGTGAGAAAGAGACATCCATAAGATTAAGGAAAAGAAAGGGGCATATTTTTGTACCATCTTGAGAAGCTTCTGTAAGAACCCTAGGCTAGGGTCTCCCTATGAATGCTTTGGGGTGTTTCTATGCTGTCTGTGTAACAAGACTATCCTCAAGCTGGATGCCTGGGCTCTGGCCACAAGGCTGTCACTAGCAAGCTGCATAACCTTTGAGAGTCACTCACCTCTCCAAGACACACTTGTCCAACGAAGCAGTAGGACCTTTCCTACACTCTTCTCAGAGCTTCTCTGAAGTTCAATCAAGACCACAGACATAGGCGTAAAACAATATTCTAATAGAAATAAATCCATCCTTGCTTATTTGGTAGGTGACAAAAAGCACAAACATAAGAGTGGGCTTTTTTTTTTTAAAGGAGAAAGATCGCCCCATTCCCAAAACTTAGGGAAAGGAGAGCAGGGGCTTGACATCTTGGAGATTTTCCAGGTTCCTGGGAGGAAGGGAGAAAGGAGGGAAAGAGAGAAGAAATAGCCACTATTTTTTATGTTGTATATGGGTATATTTCTCTCATATCTTAAAGAAAAGTTTTATGGGGGAAGAAAGATTCATGGCGTAGCTTATATAAGAATACACTTGTGGAATGGCACACGTTGCAGGGAGGAGGTCTGGTTTCCTTCAGTTCTGACAGTGATCTGGTGTCTGACTTTTTCAGGGAATCCAATCAATAAGATTGAGGACTGGCTGCAGGACTGTGGGTAAGTGCTGGACAGGCAATGGGATTGGGTGTGGCTGGCGGCTGGACATGCTAACAGGCACAGATCCAGGGGAACCGGGCTTGAATTGGGCCTAAAGATTAGAAGTAAGGTTGAGATGGTGGTTGGTAGGGTGTGGGAGGTGTTTGGGGTGAGTTGGTATTAGAGTTGCGAATCAAGTGCAACTCTGAGCTGAGGCTAAGTTAGACTGGAGGTCTGGATAGGCTGGATAGGCTGGATCTGGTCTGGATCTAAGAATGGATGGACTTCCACATCTATGGGGAATGGCTGGGCTCAATTCCAGACCCCTATCTGCTGCTCTCCCATTTAGACTGGAGTGTTACATTGGGAAACAAAAGAAGAGGAGTTAGAAACCTGATCAATCTCACTGAAGTGCAATTCATCACTGTGGTGTTTGTTTCTACTGCAGAATACCGGAGGGGCTCAGGGCTTACCACAGTCATTCAAAACAGTAGAGAACCAGAACAGCACTTCAAGGCAGGGCATCATCTCTTTCCTCAGAAACACTTTAAATTATGAGACTCCACACCACCAGCCTATACCATTTTGCCCTCAATCCACCCAGACACAAAGGGAAGGCTTTGGTGACCTATTTAAGCCTAATTATTTGTGTGACAATGATACTCAGAATGTATAACTCCTGCCTGCTCCTTATTTTCCTTTCAGGAATGCCTCAAGCTTTATGTAGTCTTTAATCTAAACTCGTTTATTAACTGACATAAATAAACCCATCCTTGCCTATTTTGTAGGGAATAAATAGCACTGAATAATACAAGTTTGTTTATTTCAACTCTGCCTAGGAAGGCAATGCCAGCAAGGATTTATTTTGTGTTTGTTTTTGTTGTTTAAAAAACATATTGTCCTTATCTTATTCACAATTCATTGACCTCCAAGTTAATAGATGGTTCTCAAAATACAGAAAGAAAAGGGATGGTGGTACTAGAAATATTTTCAGGTTTCTGTGAGAAACCTAGGATGATACCAGTCCAAGGATTTAAAATGCTTTCCTGGACATGTGCAGGAGAAAGAGTTGGCTCAGTCAATGTCTTTATCTCATTAACTGTTCTTGAGTCTTATCAATTCACATCAACAATTACTGATTGTGCATTTGCTGTCTGATTATCTGAACAACCTCAAAAATGCTAAGTAGTTTAAAATATGTCTCATGACCACAAACATACTGCATTCTAGTTGAAAAGAATAAATTCATAAAAATATAAGATTATAAGCTCTAGAAATCACCTCCCCCCGCCCATGCTTTATAAAGGTAAACTCCGAACTGAAACTTATGATGAAAAGGTTGTAGGGTGAGTGAAAAGACTCCAAGATTTGAGCCTAATTCTTGTGCTACTGCCTATGTAACCAGCTGTAAGCAAATAATTGAAATTCTTTCCATTGCAGACTCCTGATCTATAAAGAGGAAGATTAGAATAATAAATTTTCCAAATTTCTTATGAAGTTTCAAAGAGATGATATGTGTGTATGTGCTTTATGCTCTGTAATAATGTGTTAGTGATGAGGTTTATAAAGGAGGAGCTTTATGTCTACTTATAATTCACAAAATAAGTCTGCCTGTCTATCTATCTACCTATCTACTTTATTTATCAGGAAAAAAGTATACCCAGAAATGATACATACCAACTCTTAGATAGCAGTTACCTCTAGAAAGGAAAATAGGAAAGAATGTTGTTGAAGCTGCAAGCGAGTTTCGGCCTCGTCACACAAAGATCCAATTATTGAGACAATGAAGATTGCCAAGGAAGAATGGAATTTGTAATATGACATATGTCTTGTTGGGAGCAAAAGAGAAGCTGCCTCAAATCCATATCTCTAACTAATCTAAAGATCATGAGCTTTTAAAGGAAGGGCCAGGGTTGTGGCGTAGCTAACAAGGTGTTAGTGCATTGGGGGCAGGTTGAGGGGATGGTGAATCTTGACATCAGGAAATCTGCCCAGGGGACGTCAGAATCTCAGCTCCTTTGTCTTGCAGAAAATTCACCATTTCTGGGAAACAACTGAAAAGTTCAAGTAGTTAGTTAAGAAAGAGGATTATAAAAAAATATAGGGGTTGTTAAAATTTGTTCATGGGGCCAGTTACAAGAGTGGGAGTAAAATAAGACTTTAGTTATATCTTTAATATTGTATTTTTTGTTGTTTTATATGACATATTATTTAATATTTTATTTCTTTCTGAAGCAAATATGGCAAAATGTTTACATGTGTGAAAATAGGGTGACAGGTGCCAGGGCTTCTGCTGTATTTTCTTTACTTATCTGTGTTTTGAAAAAGTTTCAAGTATTTAAATTTCAAAAGGTCATTAGAAAGTTTATTAACATGCATTTGTCTTTGAAGGGGAATTGTTAGATTAAGAAAATATTTCCAGTTTTCTCTATTTTCTCATTCTCTCTAATAAATATATAATACTTTTTGATTATAAGGGAAAACCAGAAAAAACTAAAGGATAACAATGATGATGCTTGATGATAGAATACACTTGACTTTTGATAATAGAAAATGAATAAGATAAAGGAAAAACAATACATTCTAAGTATGACATTCTGAGTTACCACAGTCTTCAATTCATAGGGTGCCAGGACCACAGAGGAAAGAAGATGAACAAGGAATTCACATTTACTGGTTATCTGTCCACTCTGTTGCCAGGTGCCCTAAAAGTCACTTTTGAAATTTTGTTTCAACACCTATGGTTTCCATTTTATGATGTCAAACACCCTCCAGGAACAAGAAGGTTTTCTTTTCTGATAAGCTCTCCAAGAAAGTCTACCAACACCTTGAGCAATTTAATGTCAATGTCTCTCAGTGTCTAATCTGCTACAGGATTAGATCATGCACGTCTTTATAAACTGTGCCTCTCCGGTTTCCTTTCTCCCTTTAAGCTCTCAGGGGATTTTCTGGGACATGAATGTGTTGCTCATGAATCATCAGAGGTGGACTTGGGAGCCCTAAAGTCATCTATGTGGACTTCAGCTTAAATCTCTACAGGCAGGCATCAGTGGAAACTGCTATAAGCAGCTAAAAATAGCCACATGCTTCTCACAATCCAACTCCCTCCTTACTATTTGTTTATAAATTGGGTATACAGGAGGAACAACACCTTAGCCTTTTTGTTACAGATTTGAAATGATGCTAAGGGACCTTTCAGTGTTCAAGTGGAAAGAGGGGAACAGCTATAGATCTAGTGCCTAGTCACTGAGTCTATGGCTTATGCAATAACCGGGGAAAGGCCCGGGACTAGGGTGCTTGGGTGATGGCCATGAAGTTTCAAATCATCATGCTCTGTGAGAAGTCATCAATAGATTCAGGCCCATGTCCAGACTGTGGTGGTGGTTCCCACATACACATAGAAAAGCCTGCTGCCCCAAGGCTTATCCTGGGCTGTTCCTCAAAAAGAAAATAGAGGCAAGGTGCGGTGGCTCACACCTGTAATCCTAGCACTCTAGGAGGCTAAGGCAGGAGAATGGCTCGAGGTCAAGAGTTTGAGATCAGCCTGAGCAAGAGCAAGACCCCATCTCTACCAAAAATAAAAGAAATTAGCCAGGTGTCATGGCTTGCACCTGTAGTCCCAACTACTTGGGAGGCTGAAGCCGGAGGATCGCTTGAGCCCAGGAGTTGGAGGTTGCAATGAGCTACAATGATGCCACTGCACTCTACCCAAGGCAGCATAGTGAGACTCTGTCTCAAAAACAAAACAAAACAAACAAAAAAAAAACAATAGAAATACCTGGCAGGGCACAGCTAGAAAAGAGAAATGTGGGATGAGCACCCAATAAAAATTTGTATCTAATGAATAGCAGTGAGTTTTGCTTTGGACAAATCAGGAATCTTATTGGTGATTTTTTAATATAAATTT